TAAAAGAACATTAATATTTTTGATATTAGATAGTGCTTTCTAAATAAGCGCTGGTAAATGGGCGTTAATATATTTTTAATATTAGACAACAATTTTTGTTTATTTTCAGGCGTTGTCTAATGTACTATTTAAGGCAGTGCTTTTCTTAAATTTTAAGCGTTGTTTAATGTAAATTTAAGCTAACGCTTTTTTACTTTGAGCGCTATCTAATGTAAATTTAAGCTAGTACTTTTTTACTTTGAGCGATGTCTAAACATAAAGTGTTGTCTAATGTAAAAAAACTTAAAAAATTGTTAAGCATACAACAATACTTATATAATAAAGCGTTGTCTAATATGAATACCTTGGTCATCACTTATTTTCAAAAGCGCTGCCTGAATCCGCTCATGTTTTTACCTGCGCTTTTATAAATAAGCGTTGGTAAAAGGGTGTTGCCTAAACACTCTTTTAGCATAATGTGTGTTTCAGAAAGACTTGAGTTTGAAAAACTTTTTAGATTAATTTTATAGTTTAAAAACATTTTAGAAATTTTTTAGAAATAAGAAGCAGAAAACAAAGTGAGTAAATTAAAAAGTTAAGGACTAGAGAAATAACACCAGAAGTTATAGAGGCTCAATCAAAATAAAAAGACCTAATTCCCCCTCCCCAATATTTGTCCTTGAGAGTATCTAATAAAATTAAGAGCTTTTAGTATGTTGAACTATTGAACCTCATTATACAAGGAAAATGAAGTTTGTGACTAACTTCTGACCAAACAACAAAGAGGAAAAGAAGCGGCGAGTCTTCCTTCCCAACAATGGATTGAAGCGGTTTTCCAAACACAAACTTGGAGCAGCTAGTCTTTAAGATGAACCAAGATTTTACACTGGCTAATCTCGAATATGAGTGAACTTTTAATTCGAGCTTAACTAGCGAACCTACAAGATTTTATATTGAAATTATATTCAAACTTAGTAAGCTTTTAACGTCGGACTGATCTTACAAACCGAAAAGAAGTTTTACACAGGATAACCATAATCAAGATGAGATTTTAATACTGGGCTAATCTCAAACCTTTGAATACTTTTGAATGTGTTGAGTCTTTAAAATGAATCAATGACTTAGTAACTAAATCCCCAAACCAAAGTTTTTAACGAGTTTAGCTTTGAACCCAAATAAATAATCCCCGTATTGATAAATTATTCAACTAAATATTCCCTGCGTCTCTTCACATGCCTCCATGCGTCTCTTTTCAAAAGAACAAATAAGCGCAAAAATTCAAATATCCTTGTCGAACCCGCTTTGAATTGTTTCCAAAATGATACATTTCGATCTTGCATTATTTCGCCAAACTTCGGTCGAAAAGACCATCTTCTTTCGAAAACCGAACTTGAATTTTTTTCACTATTATTGATTTCTCTTGAAAAAACTCTTTGCCAATTATTCTAACTTAAGCGTCGAATTTATAGCTAACAGGTAGTTAACTTAAAAGGCTTAGTGACAGTCTATCAAGTTGTGTGATGATAGTCTGTCACACTATATTGTTAGTACTTAAAGTTGTTATTTATAAGAGTTTTTACTATTAATGCATTTCCATTTTATAGATTTTAGTAAATATTTCAAATATTTGTGGAAAAGACAAAAATATGTTGAAATCATCATAGTCATACGAATTTCATAGTATTTTACTATGGAAGTTATGCTGATGAAGCAAGGAGAGAAATGGAACATGTAGAATGTATTAATATAAGAGATAAGGTCGTCGATAGAGGCGCGCTCTAACATAGCAGTAGCGCTATTGAATTTTACCAAGTCTTCGTGGTGCTCAACAAGCACAACGAATCCAAACATTATGCCTGAATTGCAAAAACAAATAAATCATCTAATTTAGGGCATGCTGCCAAGATACACCGTGATACTATCAAACCTTAAAATGCAAGAGTGGCGAATATTGAACTAGATGAATGAAGTAGTTGTGTCATAAAACTTTCATCGTTGCGAATTGAGACTACTTGTATATATAAGGGGTTGCTTAAGACGAAGCAGATCACCTTGCAATTGGATACTACTAGTATATGGGGGTAGCAAAAGTTGTAACTCTGTTTTTTAAAAGGTCATAATTAAAATAGAGTCGTTATATGATTAATCATGAGAATTCTCACATCTAAGATAAATGATTTAAAAGTGTAACTTAATCACTTTTGTAATTATATTTATCAACCGTCAACTTAGTCTTATTTTATAGAAATTACTCATAAATCAACCAATCGTACTCTACGCACACCCCCAATTATCATTACTCGTTCATTGTGCTGAATTCACAAGTACAATATTTATGTTCTTTGTATGAAGTCAATATCATTCTTGCAAGTAAAATAATTTAACTTACCACATTGTTGTTTTTTTGTTGGCACAAGTATTACGACAATTATTTTTAGTTCAACACTATGGGCTATGAACTAACAGGTACATATGGCTAGGAGGATAAATTTCTAAGAGTCACATCATTTTCTAACATAAATAAGTAGAAACATCAAAATACCAAAAGGTAAAACACGATGAAGCTGTATGAATATCCACTAAGATTGTCACCCGCTTGATATACCCTATCTACATGAGTATCACAAGTCATGACCCAATTTTATAAATTTAGGTTTATCGGGGAAATTGTTCCTATCGTTCCTATCTGAGCCGAGGCCAGAAGAATTTTGGCTCATTAGCATAATAGGCTACTATAAACGTGAATTTGATCCAATAAATGGACATGATTGTCTTACTCGATCTTAAACTTGAACCTTAGTCCAAAAGCACGGAGCCAAAAAAGGAGAAGATATTTCTGACGGTATTCTGGAAATGGCCACAGGTCAATGATGTCATAAGGCGAAATATTAGTCTTATGACAAAAGAAGATTCTAAACCCTAAGGAGTAAGCATGGATTTTCCCTATGTAAGCATATTTCCAATCCAAAGAGCGAGGAAGGACCGTCGAATAATAGATTAAATTACATTTTGATATCTAACTACTTGAGCGGTGATTAAGGTCGTTAGTCTCCAAAAAAAACCTAACAAAATCTCTATATAAAAGGTTGTAGACATTGAATCAAGGTACACTCTCTTGAAAATCTAAAAACGTTACTACTTAGCTTATCCATTCTCTAACTTAGTCATCAGAGTGTTTGCTAGTAACGACCCCTAAATCTCATGAAATCAAGAGAAAAACGTTGTCATCTTATCGGTATCCAACTTACACGGAAATGTTTCGATTCACATAGAATCAATTTTCATCTCATCATTTTGTGAAAGGAAGATAATGACCTATACATGTCATTTTTCCATAAGTGCAAACAAACTATGATGATTGATGTTAATTTGTGTAGCAGCTCATGGAAGCAATTAAACAAAAAACAATTTTATTAATTCAATTAAGGATCTGTTTGTTTTGACTTTTAAAAAAATGATTTTTATAGTATTATATAATTTTATGTAAAAAAATTTACAAATAATTTTTCATAAAAACTTTAAATAAGAATTTTATTTGAATAATTGTTTTTAAAATGTTATTTTAGATATTTTTTTCATTTTATTGAAATTTTAAATATAAAATTTCAAAAAATCACTTAATTTTGAAGCTATTTTAAATAGCTTTTCATAAATATCATTTTTGAGATATAATTTTTTTGAAAAAATTGCGATTTTAACTATGTTTTAATCTTCAATAATGTATGTTTACGTTATAAGATGTAAAAAATTAGTCTTTCAATGAAAAAAAATATAAAAAATTTATAATAATATAGAAAATGATTTTATAAAATTCAATTTTAAAAATACAAAGAAAAAATTCATTTTTTTGAGTTAAATTTATTTTTGATCTCTTTAAATATAACAGATTTTGGTTTTAGTACCTTTAAATTTTTCCATCAAAGAATAGTTTATCTAAAAAAAATTCGACCCACACTTTTGATTCCTCTTGCTAATATCTATTAATAAAATTGACGTGACACTAACATATAGTAGTGTCAGTTATCAAATATGTTCAACCCATAAATTTTCGTAGCTAATTCTCATTTTAGAAGAATCATTCTTTAAAGGAAATATTTAGAAAAATTAAAAATAAAATCGACTATATTTAGAGGAGCTACAAACATATTTAATCTTATTTTTTTAAAGTTACTAAATAGCCTGCAAGAAAATATGTGATTGCAAAGAAGTGATGAGTTGCAACATATATATTCACCGAAGTGAAATCCATGTTTAAACTACTAAAATAACAACCATCATAAAAAATACATTAATAATAATTATTATCTTGAATTAATTAATTGCACCTCATAATCTGATGGCATGAGCTGTGCAAACAATTAAACATTGATAATTTTTTTACTATTCTTCGTAAATTTAGAGATAATTTAACTCTTATGACGTGTATCAATTAAATTGTGTCATATAAAGTAAAATTTTAAAATTACATATTAATTTAAAATTTTAGAGAATCAAAATGAAATCAAAAAAATAATATATGACTTGATTTTTGAATAGTAAGATGTTGGTATGTCAAGTGTGAATAATGATTATCTCATTGAATGGAAAAGAAGATATTAAATTTTTTTTAAGTGAGAAAAAACATAGACCTAATATCTTAAAATTTTAAGTTAATATATAATTTTAGAAATTAACTATATATATATAATAAAATTAAATTTATATAAATTATTAAGAATAAATTACTTCTAATTTTATAAAGGATAGTCTAGACCTCAACTTAAACATTTAGATAACAAAAAAAACAATCAAAGAAAACGAGTAAGTGATGAAAGAGAATTAAAAATTACTAGTAACCAACTTGAAGTACAATCTTTGTACATGTGAAAAGTTAAGTTGAAGTTGTTCAATCAAGAAATGAAAGAATGGAGGATGCAACCCACAACACAACCCCCACGTGTAGAAAGAAAACTACCTATAAAACTGTCTAAAGCTGAGGATGTTTTGCAAGTCTTCAAAATTAATTAAGCGAACTGAAAAACATGACTGCAAATAAAAACGCAAGTATATTGCAGACTGAGGATTTGACCAAGGTTTGCTTTATTTCATTTTATTTTTTCATATATTTTTCCAATTAGTTTAAGCTTCATTTTTATTATTTTTTCAATCTTATTTGCTTAATTAACCCAATGTGTTTGTTGTGTCAGTATATACTGGAAACTAGTGTTTATCCACGAGAAGCAGAAACTCTCAAAGATATAAGGAATGCCAATGAAAGCTACCCTATGTACGTAGTAATTCTAGTTTATTATTTAAGATGCACGAATGGCAATGTTTAAATATTGACATGACACATTGATATACGAATACATTGACATCAGTAATAATTTAAAGATTTAAATAATTTTTTTATCCTTGTAAATTTATGTGTTTTTGGTTTTAGTCCCCGAATGTTTAGTCATGTGAATGTTGTTTATCCGACATGGACACTAATATGCATTTTTTCAGAGGTGTCGAGTGCTACGTAAACTTACAGTAATGTCATCAATATTATGTAATGATACAAGTAATGTCATCAATATTAATGTCATTGTAATTCAATTCATTAGGGGCTTCATGGGCACTGCACCTGATGCGGGTCAACTAATGGCCATACTCTTGAAGTTGTTGAATGCTAAAAAAACAATTGAAGTCGGAGTTTTTACCGGATACTCTCTTCTCCTCACCGCACTTTCCATTCCTCATGATGGAAAGGTTGGCATATCATCCGAGAGTCTGTTTCTCTCAAAATCTTAAATTCGAATTTTGTTAGGTGATAACAATTCTTGTATATTGATGTTGTAGATTATAGCCGTGGATCCAGACAGAAAAGCTTACGAAATAGGACTTCCATCCATTAAAAAGGCTGGTGTTGAACATAAGATTGATTACATAGAGTCTCAAGCTTTACCAGTTCTTGATAAACTCTTAGAAAATGTAAGAATTCATAATTATATATTTTTCTATTCCTAGTACCAAATTAATGTTATTGGCTAGTAAGTTTATGTTGTTATGTATATATGTTGCAGCCTTCAAATGATGGAAATTTTGACTTTGCTTTTGTGGATGCTGACAAACATAATTATTGGAATTATCATGAGAGGCTTATTAAACTGGTTAAGATTGGTGGATTAATCATCTATGATAACACTCTTTGGGGTGGAACTGTTGCATTTCCTGAAGAAGCTGTTTTAGATCACCAAAGAAAAGTAAGACAAGATGCACTTGCTTTCAATGAAGCAATTGCAAGTGACACTCGTGTTGAAATTTGTCTTGCTTCAATTGGTGATGGTTTCACTATCTGTAGGCGTGCTCATTGATTGATCCTCATTCTGCTTTATTGTGTATGGTTCAAAGTTTCATGTGTGCTAAGGTTTTATTTTGGGTGGTTTTTTATAATAATGTTGCTTACTCACAATTTGTATTACTAGATTGTGGGGTAAGGTAAGCGTGTGTATTACACAATTTGTATTACTTGATTTGTATTACTAGTTTGTGTCAGAAATTGATATAGTTTGAATTTGTTTAAAAGAGATATGTTTTGTATTATTATTATTATTATAATTAAGGTGAAGAGATAATATAAATTTCTATCCTATTCTAGAATATATTAAGGAATATTCTCTTTTTTATATATATCAATACTCTCTCTTAAACTTGAGCATATAAGTTAAATGCGTCAAAATTGTAACATATATAATTGATTTTGGAGTTTCAAAAGGATTTTGTAAACACATCTGTCAATTGATCATTCAAGTTGACAAAGCTTGTGGCAATGTCGCCTGACTCGATCTTATCTCTAACAAAGTGACAGACAATTTCAATATATTTGGTCCTCTCGTGGAAGACCGAATTTGAAGCAATGTGTAATGCATCTTGATTATCTCAAATAAGTGTCATTGGTCTTGCTGCTCCAATTAGAATTTCCTTGAGCAACGGTTTTAACCAAATAAGTTCATATGTTATCATCGCCATGGCCTTATACTCTACATTGACGCTTGATCTTGCAACTACATTTTGTTTATTGATTTTTCAGGATATAAGGTTTCCTTCAACAAGTACACAATATTTAAAGGTGGATCGTCTATCAATGGGTGACCCTGTCCAATCAGCATCGGAGTATCCAACTATATGAGTATATCCTTTATCTTCATACACAAGACATTTTCCTGGAGCACACTTTATGTATCTTAGAATTCAGACAACATCATTCGTGACAAGGAGAATTTAAGAAGAGGTGTGGGAGTACTTTTCTGAAGGGGTTTCGGAGTTACTTGGTTGGACTCGAAATAAGGAACCGACTCGAAGAAGGTAATATCGACCGATACGAGATACCGTTGTAGAGTATGTGAGTAGCAGCGATAACCCTTTTGGGATCGATAATGTGATACGGTGGGAGAACTGACTTGGGTTTTGCGTTTGTGTTCGCAAATGTTCGGTTTAGCAAGAGTCGCCACCGACTTTTTATTTTATCCTAAGGAAAGGTCAAAAAGCACAGGAAAGACCTTTGAGTTGTTTTCGTGGGTTCGGGGGGGTAGATTATGAAAAGGGAATGTGCTAGCATCCTTTTCATCCATGGTTATCCATGAGCTCTTAGTTACTTGTTTTAGATCACTTGCCTTGATTTTCAATTGTTTGAAGTGGTGCTTTGTGTGTGTGGTTTTGAAAATGTTTTGAAAAAGATGCCTTGTCTAGGCAACCTTTGTAATAATTCTTGTTTGAATGCTTTACAAAGGTGTTTGTCTTTTTGAAAAGATGTTTCAATATTTTTGAAAGTTGTTTTTGAAAGTTGTGTTGTGAAGTGTGTTTTAAAAAAATGGCAAGGATGTTTTGCAAGTTTGATCAAGTAACTAAGAGCTATCTACCCTATTTTACTCAAAGATCTTTCTTATGCTTTTAAACCCTTTTAACAGTGTTGTTTCACCATTGTATTTAGTGAACAACCTTGTGTTAGGATGTTGAACGGGGCAGGCGTGGAACGTTTGTATAGTCATAGAAGGCAACATACGGGACGTTTTAGCAATGTCATTTTAGGGACTAGATCGTTTACCGAAGGCAACATCGAGGGTCATTGAGGGACTACGATCTTTTATCGAGGTCTTTGCTAAAACGCCCATGCTCGAGGGACATGACTATTTTCCGGGGCAACAAGTGACATTACCCTAAGGGTGCATGTGTGCAAAGTGTGTTATTTACATGCATTTAGTCTTTGATTTTTAGGTTGTCTACTTGTTGATTTTATCTTACCATACACGCCTAATTACTAGCATTTGTACAAAGTAAATAAAATGCAGAAAGATAAAATCCTACGCTATTACAACCATATCGAAAGGCATAAAATATAAAGGCAAAAATAAAATATAAGCAAGAAAAATGAAGGTCTTTCGATTGGGGCAGAAAACCCTTCGATTCTGCACTTTCTGGCTCTCTTCGATTTGGCCTGAAAAAGGGTGAAGGCATGAATTTCGACTGAAGCCTCACGGTCAACATGTTGTGCCTTTCGATTGGGACCAGCAGGACAACATATTGTGCCTTTCGATTGGGACCAGCAGGACAGCATGTTGTGCCTTTCGACTGGGACCAGCAGGACAACATGTTGTGCCTTTCGACTGGGCCTGGAACCAGTATAAGATGCAATCTGCCTTTATGCCTCCTTCGATTGGGCCTGGAGTCAGTGAGGTGCAATCTGCCTTTCTACCTCCTTCGATTGGGCCTGGAGTCAGTGAGGAAGCCTGAGGCTTCGTTTCATATTCCTGTTTCCTGTTTATTTCGTTTGAGATATTAAATAGCAACATGGCATAAGGCCATGTTATCATTACCTCAGGACCAGGTCAGTTCTTAAAGCATTTGTAATAAACCAAAGAGCAAAACCAAAAGGAGAGGCAGTAAAAACAAACGAAAAGGTAACAAACACTATGTACATGTTTGAAACGAAAAGGAAGCTTATTTACATGTTATGCTAGAAATGAAGGGGTCAAGGTTAAGAATGACTTACCTTGCTTGAGGCTGGAACGTGTGTTGGGCCTTTAAGTGGTTTCATTGAATGCTTCTGGATTCGAAAGGAGGAACCAGGGGTTATGTCTTTGATACTGGATTCGAAAGAGAAGAACAAGTGTGAGGTTCTTCCTACTGGATTCGAAGGGTAACAAGGTATAGGGATGTTTCAGATTCTAAGTGTTTGAATTATGGGTATGTATTTGATGAGTGTTTAAGTGTTTGAGAAAATTTGGTGTTTTTGAGAATTTCTGAAGATTCGTTCGACTGGCCAAATGACCTCCCTTAGCTTTGCACAAGTTCCTGTATTTATAGAGAAAGAATGGACATGTTCGTCCATAGCCAGCCTTGCAAAGAATAATAATGTGGCGTGAAAGTACAAGTGGGCTGAAGCTTTTGGAGGGAAAACAAAATAATTTGAACAGTTTGAGTAACCTGCTCTTTGTAGCCTTTGAGGGACAATGCTTTATTGTCATTCTGGTGCAAGGAATTGGGCATCAGTGCAGGACTGCTGTGCAGCAGTTTTGGAGTTTTATGGCCAGTGAATCAGGCCTGAGCCTGGCAGTGCATGTGACTTGGTCGACAACTGCCTTTGGCCTCTCGTCCTTTTGTCTTGACTCCCTAGACTCACCTTTCGAACAGACTTTCAGTAACCATCTCTTTTTTTTCAATCAAAGTGACGTTCAAATGACTTCCCTAGACCATCCTTCGAATGGGCCAAATTAATGCTCTTGGGATGGAAGGCTCAATCAAAACTTGCAACGTTGGAGAAGTCACTCCCCCAAACAAAAAAGGTGTGCAAGGGCAGGATGTGTGATCGAAAGAGGGCAAAAGAGAGGCTCTTTCCTCCTGGATCGAAGGACATCAAAAGGGAGCTTTTTTCCTTGGAATCGAAGGAAGTCTTTGCCTCAGTCGAAGCTTGTAACAAGTTGTTTTAAAAGGTGATTTTGGCCTTGTGCATGCTAGTATGGTAAGGAATTCTGCCTTGTAAATCTTGGCTAACACGCAGGAAAGAGGCTATATGGCCAAGTGAAATATTTGTACTAAGAGAATACAACATTCAAACGAAATCCAATATCCCAATGAAACAAGAAATGAACTTGTCCAAAAGGAGTCCAGCGCCCAATCAAAGGATGCAAGCCAAGCTTGTGTCGAAAGAGGTCAAAAGGCCAATCGAAGGATGCAAGCCAAGCTTGTGTCGAAAGAGGCCAAAAGGCCAATCGAAGGATGCAAGCCAAGTTTGTGTCGAAAGAGGCCAAAAGGCCAATCGAAGGATGCTGATCGAAAGAGCACTTGTATTTCTCCAATTTTTGTCAAAATAATATTTTTATCTTTTTTCTTTTAATTTTGGTACTGGAAAATCCCAATGCACTTGTTCAAGCTTGAACCTTGAGAATCCTTGTGAGAAAGGCCTTGATAATTGAGAGGGCAAATTTTGGGGTACAACAGTTGCCCCTGTTCAATTTTCTTAAACCTGAGGATATAGATTGGCTTTCGAGCCTTTCATGATTCGAAGGTGGAAGATAATTGAACACTAGAGTGCCCAAAAATTTGCACTCGCATGGTGTAGTATCAGCATTGTGATGTCGGGAATGGGCTTACAGATGCCATTTGGAGATTGTTGGTAGGAGGATGGGCTTATAGATTCCATCTGCAGGAGTGTCGATCGTATAAGAGATTCCTTAGCGAGAACTTGCATACTTATTGTTTGCAGAAGATTCCGCTGGGCAAGTCTAACTTTGTTGAGATTTAGGAACTGTTTCGTGCCCACCGGGAGTATACCGCTGAGGTTATAGAACTCGTCCACCCTATGACGTAGGGTAACATCTTCATCAAGATCTAGGAACTGTCTCATGCTCAATGGAGTATACCTTTGAGGTTATAGAACTTGTCCACACTATGACGGAGGATAACATCAAGATCTAGGAACTGACTCGTGCTCAATGGAGTATACCCTTGAGGTTATAGTACTCGTCCATACTATGACGTAGGGAAACATCTTCATCAAGATCTAGGAACTGTCTCGTGCTCAATGGAGTATACCGTTGAGGTTATAGAACTTGTCCACACTATGACGGAGGAGAATATTAAGATCTAGGAACTGACTCGTGCTCAATGGAGTATACCGTTGAGGTTATAGTACTCGTCCATACTATGACATAGGGAAACATCTTCATCAAGATCTAGGAATTGTCTCGTGCTCAAAGGAGTATACCGTTGAGGTTATAGAACTTGTCCACACTATGACGGAGGAGAACATCAAGATCTAGGAACTGACTCGTGCTCAATGGAGTATACCGTTGAGGTTATAGTACTCGTCCACACT